AGGTAAAACAAACTCATCAATCGATTCTATTTATTATTCTATGAAAACTATAACGGGTACTTTCATGGAGAAATGAATATATTACGAGATATTTCATATTTTAACGTATAAAATCTGTTTGATATTTATAGGTTTTGCAATTGGTGGAATTTATCGAGTTGCATAGACTCCTGGGCGCTACTCATGTCACTTTGTATAACGATACTGTAGGCGCAGCGGCCGGCTGTGCGTTAAAATATTATGAGAACAAGGATCTGGTTACAGTGTTACCATGGCATCATCTTGACATGATTTCCCAACGGGAAATTCGCACGGAAGGTCTTTTCGCGGCGCTTAACGATTGCCTCTACCGATCTATGTACAAATACGAGTATGTGGCGCTCGTAGATCTCGACGAGTATATTATACCGAGGCATAATGACACTATAATCGATCTACTACGGTATGATACATGATAGTTTCGTGACCTTAATGTACATCATATATAATAAAATTGACATTTAGAAGATAGACCTAACATGTAGTATATTTGGAAGAAAGGTTGAAAAGTTTATGCATTAGAATCACTAGAATCATCAAACTTGTAAAATCAGATTTATTATTTTTAAACCAATAAATATAAAATAACAATGTCGTAAATTAATAATATATAAAGCTAAATAACTACTTACTTCAAATTTCGTGAATCATTATAAAGTGTTTGCGTGGCTAAAGAATTATTTCCTCATAAATAATTCATCTTTATAAATTTGAGTCTGTTGTAAATATAAAACGATCTTTTAATGTAACTATTTCTAGATGGATGGGAAATCGAATCAACATCAAGTCTACTGGTGCATTTTCTTTTCAAAACGCCTTTTTCTATCTACAATGGACCGATGATCCTTTCGTGGTGACTAGCCGTACTCCCACCGAGGCCGGTTTGATTACTCTGAAAAAAACACGGCGCAGGACCAAGTTGCATCCACACAAGCAACGCTCCAAATACATCTGTAAACCACAAGACGTGGTGGAGGCGGGCAATCACTTCGTCTGGGAATTTATTCCCGGTCATGGAACCCTGAACGTCCCCTCCGATGCCGCCATTTTGCATCATTACCGTGTCTGCGAGTTTGGTGGAGACGACTGCATCAAGACACAATCGACGGTCGATAGAACGGCCTATAAATACAGAGATCGACTTGCGACGAATGTCGATAAGACGTGGATGGAATTGCGCGCCGAGTGCTCGCTTCCGGAACTCGATCCGGTCCCGGCGTTAACACCTCGAATCAAAGCCAACTCACTCGGCAAATCGGTCAGGTAGCGAAAAACCATCGTTGAGATTCTGTGGGACATTGGCAATTTCACTGGTACGCCGAAAGTCGCGAGGACCTATTTCTATAACTACGGCGGTCCGTAGTTTTCTCAAACTGAGCTAAGCGAACTCCCGTCTTTTTTTACTCACTAAACCGTGTTTTTAAATTTGCGAAGGAGGAAAATACGCTTATCAGCGAGATAATAGAAATTGCGAAAAAAAGAAAAAAGAAGAAACGAGACGCGAATTAATCATATTTTTCTACATGATGGATCCGTGAACGGTTAGCGAAATTTGGGGACAACCTGCCAAGTCTATCGAGTTTGACACTACATGGTGGTGCTTCTCTCTTACAATTTTATACGGACTTCTTGTATCTGTATCTTACAATTCTTTCATTCGTGCAGCAAATGTGATCGTTTGCGACAAATTCTATTATTAAGATTGTTACGGAAGGCCTAAATCACGGGCTAAAAGAAAGCAGTTGGTGATAAACGGCGAGCAACATTAGATATTATTCCTATTATATCGTTATTTCGAGGGTAAACCTTTTTTTTAGATACTTGTAAATTCACACAATTTATCTTATGCATATCCATAGAATCAATAAATAGCATAGTGATATATGTACAATATGTATTTAGGACTGTTAGAAATTAAATCTGCAGAGACACACACAGCCTAGAACACAGCGTACTCTCGAAAAAATATTACTTCAGATGCAGTCTGTTGAAAATTTTGAAATCTTAACGCTGAAAACCCAAATTTATTTAAAAACAAAAATAAGTAATATAATATTTTTCTCAAAATCTTCTCCAAGATTTGATAAATTTGATTTAATCTAGGGCTTAAATGAAATGTTTGTTTACTTTCATATTTTTTTATCTTATTATCCACGTGCAAAAGTAAATAGCTTTGCGATACAATGAATTATTGTGCAATTCTTCCGCGCTTACAATCATCTCGTCTTTTGTCAAAAAAATTTATAAAAAATTCTACATAATGTGAATTTTTTTATATAGATAAATGTTTTTTTTTTTTTTTTAAGAGATAAATGAAAGATATTGATTTTGCCTGACATAAAATTCTATGATTATTACGTGATACGATTATTTAATTCATTGCTAGCGATTATTTAATATATTGTAATAAATATCAAAATTTTTTCGTTGATACAAACAAATAAATCGATGGTGAAAATGAAAAAACTGCACAAGGGAATTTAATAAAAAGATAAAATGTAATTGTATCACACAAATATAATTTACGAGATGATAAAGGGAAGATTTCTGGCAACTAAATCGGTAGTTTATAATATACCGAATATTGTTGTAGCAGATAAGTTTAGTAAAGTCTTTCTATTTATTTATTAATACAAAGAAATCATATTTCTTACGCACATGCAAATTTATGTATATATGTGTATACACGCATATGTACGTACATGACACGTACATAACATGTAAAATAGACTTAAGGTAAATACATGTGATCGGTGCTGAGCTACAGTCGACAATGCGTCGACATTAATTATGTTGACGAAGTTAATAAATATGATACTAGGACAATATGTACTTTAATTTTCTTGAATTTCCGTTGCATATTATTTAAAAATCACAAACCAAATTAATTATTTATGTAAATATTAATGTATTACGATATAAGAATTAAAAAATTATTTTTCAAGAAAAAAAAGTAAGACCGTTAAAAGCACATATTTATTGTATTATTGAAAAAAATTGTTATACTCTAAAACTACTGTTTTAATATATATTTGATACTACTATGCAATAATAATAAAGGACCACGCACAAAATGGCTGGGAAATGGCTCCCAGTCGATTTGGCTGAAATTTGAATATGATGTAGTTAATGTTGTCCTGATCAAATGTCTTATAGGGCCGGAAGACCAGTAATGGCTAGTTTTCGAGATATTCGACTCCAAACATTGAAAAAATAGATGTTTTAGCGTATGTATATAGCTTTAAATATACGAACTGTATGTGTATGCGCTCGCGCGCATGCAGGTGTGTGTGTATGTGTGTGGGTCGGTGGTTGTGTGTGTGTGTGCGTGTGTGCGTGCGTGCGCGCGTGTGTGTTCGTGTGTATTCGTGTGCGTGTGTGGGCGCGCAGTAACCCAGAAACAATGCTGTGGACGTAATGAAATTGGACAGAATGCTCAACTTCTTGGCTTTATGTCTCTTTCTTCGGTATGAAACCCGATATACTTTTTCGACATTATTTTTCGAGTGTTTCGGTTTGACTTTTATGCTGCTTAATTACTTTCAAATCCGGAGCTTATAAGCGGAATCCGAAGCGGAATAGCACTATAAAAGATACTAAAAGACGGCAAAATTCAGACTGGAATCGATATTGGCTTTCTGTCTTATTATATAGTTTATTTTAGTAAGTACATTAATACGTATGTAACATTAAGTCTTTAAAACTTTTATTCTGCATATTTTCTTGTCAGTCTTCAGTGTGTATATTGTCGTTGATCCTGGGTTACGCCGAGAGCAGGGCACACACATACACACACACACACACACACACACACACACACACACACACACACACACACACACACAC